CACTAGAAAAGCTGGGGGACCCACTGATGAGCCGGAACCCCATGTCGACGAAACAAGCGTGTCTGGCTTTTTAGCTAGTACCTGTGATGCCAACAAGGCAAATTACAAGATCGACGTTAAATTGATTAAATACAGAACATGGCTGAGACCTTAATTTATACTCAGCTGCGGCATGCTAGTAGCATAGTAATGAATATCGAATCAGGAACCAATTAGGGCAACAGAAGGCACAGAAATGATTGCACAGATAGAGCGCAAATTACATTAAAAGCAAGAACAAAACGCCTACTTGCCTGAAATCTGAGAACGACGAGAAGCATGACTCGGTGGTCCCGGTGACGGACCTGACAGACTCGTAACTGGGTTACTGAGTAGCACTTCAGTGACAACCTCGGCACTGGTGTCCTCTGAGTCCTGATACCTTTCAGCATCCTCGAAGTCATTTATCTGTCCCTGCTCAGGTCGTCTCGGGCCGGCGTTGAGATAAGATAGGGAGTTAGCTGTGGCATTTGACAGCCTATCTGTTTGTGGTTATGCAAACAAAAGAAAAACATGCAGAGTGTAAGTGCAGGTAATTTTAAACAACAGTGCTAGAAAGCAGAAAGGGCGCACTAGGGAAAGGTGAAAGGAGGCTGTCTCGGCAATTCGTTTTCTAAAATAAATTGGTCTCTTACTGACCTTCACAAAAGTGGTAGCACTCGTCACAGAAAAGGAGCCTCTTGTCTATCAAGAAATCACCATCTGGATGCTGTGAATAATCCTGTTGTAAAGGAGATTAACCCTGCAGTTTGGTTGTCAAAAGCAACAAAGTCTAATTCTGTCCCACTAGGTGGAGGCAGCCAGAACATTCGCTGGATTTAATTCACGTGCTCTTGCACATTAACAGCAGTAGAAAATCCAGATAATGAAACCAAAAGACCTACCGCCACGATAAGAAACACCTGAAGTTGTCTACTGGATCTGGTTTAGTTGCTGGCAAAGCACCTACGTTGCCGAAAATGGAAGACTGCTCTGGACGCAAATTTTTGAACGCGCAGCAACAAA